ACCGACTACAGTCGCGAATAAAAACAATTACTCTATGCACATTGTGCGCATTCCCGTATTATATATTAACCTGCAATGCTATAAAGATCACACATTCTACTAAACTTTGCCTCATAAATCAGGTTTTCATGCTATCTTCACACACCTATACCTATTCAACAACGTCTATTCTTTTGCTATACCATATCCAGAATTATCTTATTCTGTAATTGTTAATAAATTGTTATAAATAATTTAACACATTATGATAAACAATGTACTGTTTCTCATTAACTACTAAGTATCCAGTTCTGAAACTTCTGTTACATTTAGAAAACAAGGGTATTTAAAAAGTGAATCATTTAGAAATTTAATCTTGCCTCTCATTCCAAATTTTAAATTTTTTAAACAAATTATAAAATTTTCTAATTAATTTTCTATTGTTATTATTTTTTTAAAAAATGTTTTTCTCAAAATTACATTTCTAAATGATTCAGATTCTTCTACTATACATGACAGTGAACCACAAAAAAATTCAAGTCAATAGGTTGATTAGTTTCTGAGAAAAGGTGCATTTTATCAATAAAACTGAAGTTTGCGGGAAAAAGCAAAAAACAGAAATGCTGCATCTTCATATTATAATTTTGTAGTCTGGTCTTTCTTTGATACAATTAGTGTTCTCCTGCTCCATAATCTGCCTCCTTTTGCTCCTCTTCATCATCTTGACCTCTAGCTGCCTTTCTTTTCTTTCTTCTCTCCTGTTGGGCACCGCTTTTTGTCCTGAAATCTGCTTGCAGAATTCTCACTTCATCCAGTTTGTGCAATGTTGTAAGACACCAAACTCCAGGAACAATTCCCATCTTGTTCAGAACTTTTGCCCTTGCAATATTGCCATCACTGAATCAAGCTACAGCAGCTTCAACAGCTGTCTCAACTGTAAATGTGGATGCAAAACCTGTCTTAGGGCATCCCTGCCGAATCACACCATTGAGTGACTCGTTTACATTTTGTATTTTGGAAACATGTCCACGCTGCATCCAGGTACCATCCGCAGTCACAGCAATATCACCCTCACCATCATTTACAACTTTACATTCTGCAGAAGCCCTCTTCATACTGTCTTCTGCTCCTTTACACACAGTATCATTAACTATTTTATTGTAAAGTTCAAAATTTGCTACTGGTGGAGGCAGGTCCACGATGGCACTGAAAATTTCACCTGCAGCATGGCCCTTTCCTATACATCTCGGTGCAAAAACTGATCTACGATTAACTTGATACTGTCCATTTTCTGAAGTGAGAGAAGTAAAATAGTTTTCATTCAATCCATATGATGTNGTACCATCCGCAGTCACAGCAATATCACCCTCACCATCATTTACAACTTTACATTCTGCAGAAGCCCTCTTCATACTGTCTTCTGCTCCTTTACACACAGTATCATTAACTATTTTATTGTAAAGTTCAAAATTTGCTACTGGTGGAGGCATGTCCACGATGGCACTGAAAATTTCACCTGCAGCATGGCCCTTTCCTATACATCTCGGTGCAAAAACTGATCTACGATTAACTTGATACTGTCCATTTTCTGAAGTGAGAGAAGTAAAATAGTTTTCATTCAATCCATATGATGTACAAGATAGAACTAACTTTGAAGCCCAACCTCTATGACACTGCACATCTTCCTTGATTTTTAATGGACCATATTTACATTCAGAACACACACTATTTTCTAATATACTGTTAATTATTGCCATACAAACAAGCCTGTAACCCGAGAAGTCTTTCAAATTTTCACTTTCGTATGATACAAAAAATCTTATAATTTGCTTGAAATGGCACTAACATTACTAACCTCATTCTCATCTATATTTACATTAAAACTATTTTCTTCGGAGTTTCCACTATCACAAATATTTATGGTATTTCTATTCGGTATATTACCATAGAATTTCCTTTTTTAGACCAACGAGATTCACCACGTGGTGAAAAAGATAATACAACTTTCACAAAGAAATCTTTGAAGAAACACAAAAAAGGAGGGAAATATTTGTAAATACTGCGGAAATAGCCTTCATTTCTTTTCCAGACAGGCAACCCACCAGTCTAGCCTACATACGACACAGAACCCGCTAATTATAAAACGCCAAATCATTTCAAAACAAAAAAAAAAAAAAAAAAAAAAAAGATTATGATGTCGTAGAAGGCGTGGCTCCCTCAGCAGGCACTTCAATTCCTGGTAAGCTGGACTTTAAATACTTCGGGGGACGGATAAAATTTCGAATTTCGCGAAAAAAGTTACAGGACGTTTCTATGAACTATCATTAGTTTAAAAGCACAAAAACAAAAATTTCAGATTTTTTAAAGATTTTTCATGTTAATGCCCCCTTCAGTGTGTGTCTGACATAAAAATAATTCTTATATCATTGTGGTTAAAACATAAAGTAACTTACTTATGCATCCACTGTTTTAGAAGGTCTGCTTGTGAAGGAAGTTATTATTACTCTCACAGAAGAGGAGCAATTCAGTTTCATTTTATATATTTTCATTCTTTGTATCCATGCCTATTTCAACTTACTAAGATCTTTGGATTAATCTGCACTTCATATAATACAATGCCATTCACATTTTGTGTGAACAAATAGCAAAACCTGAGATTTGAGATTTTAATCATGAGAATTTAGACTGTATTGTCTGGGTTATCATACCATGTAGTTTTGCAGGAGGTAACCATATACAAAGCTGCATGATGCATAACACAGAAGACCACATTTTTTGCATTATTCATTAAAGAAAAAGTCAATACAGTATTCAGGTTTTTTGTATCTAAGAACATGAAAAATTATTTTTGTTATTGTGTATGCATAAGAATTTGATCTAAACCAGAGATGACCTTAAACATATAATTATCCCTTTTCAGAACATAGTGGACAAACTTACTGATACTGAACCACCAGCTAGACTAAATAGTGCATCATGAATGTGACATAGGGGTGGAATACTCAAATGATGATTGAAGATAGGCCTACAAACAAGACAGTACTTACTTTGTTACACGGTAGCCATGCTCATCAGCTTTGTAGTGGACAGTGCGTTTGTAGAATCCATCACTATATGAGTAGCAACCAGATAGCTCAAGACCATTGTGCTCCTCTTGACGAATCTGGGTGTTGTCCATGATGTTATAATTTATTGAAGAATTGAAGGAATATTTTGCATTTCTAGCCTGTTTCTGAAAAAGTTCCTCCTGTGAACTGAGAGCAGTTTGACCTACTCTCTGTTGATTCTGCACAACTTTCTTCTGAGGGTTTTGTTGCTGCTGTAACTGAGGTGCTTTAATGCCATGAACTGTTTCATGCTGAACATTCTGAGTTTGAGAGGGAAACCTATTTCCAGGAATTTGCTGCTGTTGAAGTGGCTGGATCTGGGTGGATGATCGTTGAGTTGGGAAGGTATGTACAAAAGTAGTTCTTTGAGGTAAGTGAGATTGATGGAGTGGTGAAACTGGCTGCTGAACATGCCTATTGAGTTCATTACTCTGAAGCTCCTTTGCTTGTTTGGCTGTTTGTGGCACTGAGGTAGATTTTGTTAGAATAGTTCCCTGATTTGTATTTTGAACTGCTTGCTGATGCGCAAGAGAGAATGGATGTATATAGAGTGGTACTTCCTGTTGCACATGATGTAACACTCCAGAAGATAGTACTTCTTATATACATTTATTTAGAACATGCTTGTACTTCTATTTGGATTAGGGAATGTACGTCTTAATGGCACAGCAAAATTGGAAACACGAGAGAAAAAGCAAGTATATTGTACCCCCACCCCCCACCCCCAATAATGTATTTTCACAACATCAGCAGTGGCAACTGCAATTGTTTATGGTCTGTAAGAAAAAACTGCTTTTACTGAATCCTCGAAAGGGCTGAACAAATCCAACAGAACTATTACTGGTAGCAAATACGATTATGAAAGCGGCCTAACTCCTTCCATTCCATGTATTAGGATAATTACTTATCTAAATATAGATGTAATTACTATTAACGGGCAGACATTTAGACCAAATGCAGCTCAAGATGTGTGTTATTTGATTTTTATTTTCCTAAAACACATCCCTGCAATTCGAACCTGTCAATTGCCCATAAATGAAACAACATCGCACCCAGAATATCTGTTATATAAACCTATACGGTGTATATATATATATATATTTTCTTCATCATCATACTTAATTCTTCAAATTACTTAACCGCTTTACAGAGCTTAAACATTAATAATTTTCCTGCCACAAATCTCATGTAACGGGTACATATCTCAGCATGATGTCTGCAATACTTCTGCGCACACCCGCCCAAAGAGTCTTTTTCAGAAAGGACAATAAAATTGATGTTCGCCTGATGTGAGCTATGTAACACATATGCATATTTACTTAAACCTGGTTCTGAAGTCCCACCATTCTGTCACAATTTTAATGCCATTACATAATTATTCAAATGAATTTCATTTACAGAAACCTCTGGAGTCGAATATAGGACTGTACCGTGCCGTTCTAAGACGTTTATACGAAGTTTGATGCTGTTGAATAAAAACTGTAGAGTGTTATGAAGAGATTTAGGTGTGGAAGCCCACAGATTCGAACTCAGGCCCATTGAATGGTTTCCAGTACTTCTACAATTTTCGTCTGTGTTGCATCCGGTTAAGTTTCGGAATTAGCAACTAACATACATTCCTATAAACTCCATTTTAAGTATGGAATTTGTATTGTACTCATCAAAAATTGAGAATCTGACATACTGCTCAATAGTAACCTTGAGTAGTAACGCTAGTAACCTTGACGTATTTAGGGAGGGTGGTGGCGGGGTTATGCAGGCACGTGTCAGAATCGTCATTCGCTTGTTTTACGAAGGATTTGTTACGTCACTCCTTTCAGTGACGGATGGTAAACAAAAGTATAGCGACAGCTTCACTTCATAAAATATTCCATTAATAATAACAGAAAGAACTCAATTATGAGCATATTAAGCTATAAAACTAGTTTGTTGTTATAGTATTCTTACTGCATCACGTCATGAAGGCGTACAGATGGCGTGAAGACAAAACTTCATGCATTCGAGATCACGGCACAAACGTTGTGGTGAGAGGTCAGCTTCAGGCTATCATAGCTTTACCCGTAGTGAAATATGCGTTTGTCTGTTCATTCGATTCTTTTTTGCCGCTATATCTTTTTCCTGGTCTAGTTATTTGTCAGTTTACAAGTTTGTATATAATGGAATGGCAGAATGTTTGCGAATGGTATATTAGAGATGATATGGGATTGCCGTGGCCAATATAAAGGAGGCATACTGTCATTCGAATGAAAGGGCTGGAGAATACAGCGAAAGTTTCGATCGGGATAGTTCTTAAGATCGAGATCAGAACCAGCGACCTCACGGATCGGAAACAAAGCAAGCTAGCGCTGTCCTCAGTACAGCGGACAGAAACATCCTCTGCCTACGTCGGGGCTTGAACCCCCTCAGTCCTAACAGTGATTATGTCTCAGTGATGCGCCAAGTTCAGTCATGCTGACAGAGGTATCTGGTTCGAGACTCTCTCGCGAGACCATTTATCCTGATAGGATGTTTCGTGCTTTAATTCCTTTCCTTCAGAACAATACTGCAATAACTCTATCTAAAGAAATCTAAGACAACAAGCCAGCCACTGAACACGGCAGTGCGTCTCCCACCCCCAAGATTTTTAACATTATTTAATTATCGTCGAGGAACATAGACTGAGGGTGCTTGAGAACAGGATGTTGAGGAGAATATTTGGACCGAAGAGAGATGAAGTGACAGGAGGTTGGAGAAAACTGCATAATGAGGAGCTTCATAACTTGTACTCTTCTCCAAGTATAATTAGAATGATCAACTCAAGGAGGATGAGGTGGGCAGGTCATGTAGCACGAATGAGGGAGACGAGGAATGCGTATAGGATATTGGTGGGAAAGCCAGAAGGAAAGAGACCACAGGGAAGACCAAGGCGTAGGTGGGTGGACAATATTAGAATGGATCTTAGAGAAATAGGATGCGTTGGTATGGATTGGATAGATCTGGCTAAGGATAGGGACAAGTGGAGGACTCTTGTGAACACGGTGATGAACCTTCGGGTTCCATAAAATGCTGGGAAATTCTTGAGTAGCGGCAGAATTGGCGGCTCCTCCAGAAGGGCTCAGCTCCATGAGTAAGTAAGTATTTAATTATCGTCATTGTCTTGCCAGTTTTCCCTCCCTTAAATTCTTCTCGACGCCCTGCTTTGAATTGCCATCCTTTCACTGAGTGAGAGACGCGGTTTTGTAACCAATTAATAATTACGATGTAATTCTACAGTTGCTGAACTTTTTAATATGCGGAACAACGGAACTACTCCTGCATGCAGGGATATCTGAGTGTGACGTCAACTGATTTTGATTCCACTATAATATGTCTTACGATCCGTCACTCCAACTGGAGGTGCACTATGGATATGACGTCATCAAGATGCATCTCGGTGCAAGGCCCCGGGTTACACGACCTAAGGCGGCAGAGAGCTGTTGTGCACGCCGGGAATAGTGCAGTTAGGTGCCGGTCAGCAAGTTTTTCAGTATTTTTTGTGGAAAATCAGTGTCCAGAGCCGTAAATTGTGTTAATTAGATATCTTTCAGGTACGTGTGAATTCATATTAATTTGGTGAAATTAAATGTCTCCTAAAAGTATCAAAAATGAATTTACAAAAGTTTACTTGTTGCGCAGCGTGTGTTGGTACCACCAGTTACGTTATGTTTAATAGTAAAGATGTGAC